GGAGAATATTAAAATTTATCTTGCAGCAAGTTATTCAGAGAATGAAAGCTAGAATTTAGAAATAAAAATACAGAGATTTTTAGCACAAGAGACTTACACATGTGGAGATACAGACTAATAATATAAATGTCTTTTCGATATGCATCGTGTTAGCACAGCAATTGCTGCAGACAAATTAAATGGTATTTGTTTCCACTGAACACTTCCTTATGAAATGAAGAAAGCACGTATCAGTTGTTAATCCTAACAGTTCCATGAAACTAGTCTATGTTTATAGCTGGGTTTCAATTCTAGATTTTAACCAGCTCTGTAATTCACCTTGTATTTCTAAAACGAAGAACAGAAACAACATAGGAGAAAATTCAGTCCAGAAAAATGTATTCCTGGTGTGGCCAAAAGAGGGCAGTGAAGGCTTTTTATTCAAAGTATTTAAAAGTATGACTAATTAATGTATTTATTACCTGAATTTTATAAAAGAGTCAGGAAACTCCCATGTGGGTTTTGAAGATTTAAAAGAGTGAAAGATGAAGAAAAAGAAGGATGAAGCATAAAAGCCACCAAAAGATTTTTCATTTAAAGTTTACAAGTAGAAGAGAGAATGGAACTGAAATAAAGCACTAGAGAGTAGGAAAAAACCTTGCCAAGAGAGGCAAATCTCTGTTTAACTTTAAAACTGATCAAGTCTGTCTCAGTATGTCTGAGTATATATAAGGAATCATCTTCAAGCATCTAATATACATCATTTCACACATTACCATACAGCACGTGAACATAGCGAGAAAAGTATCTCTCTTCACCCACTCATGGAACAAGTATTACAAAAGGGAAAAGAAAACAAAAACTTACCAGAAGAAAATTAATTGATGATGCCTTAAGATGTATCTTTGTGTCTGCTAGAAGGTCATAGACTGCAATGCGATTCCTGTCATCAAGTACAATGCTGCGGCAAAGAAAACTGAGACAGAAAGCAGGATTAAAAATTAGCCTGCTGGCACTGCCATGTTGTTTATGCTATCACCTAGCTCAGCTGCTAGCTTTTGGTTAGCCTCACCACTGGTGTCTAGCCGTCCTGCTGGATCACCTTTGGCCACTGGTGAACGTGCAGTATCCTCAGTAGTGGGACAAAGGATGTACCATGTACAAAATACTGCTTGTCCTTTGTGGGCTGACCTACCCAGAGCCCAAACCTCCAGACCTGAGTTCACACAGAATCACAGAACGTTAGGGATTGGAAGGGACCTCAAAAGATCATCTAGTCCAATCCCCCTGCCGGAGCAGGAACACCTAGATGAGGTTGCACAGGAAGGCGTCCAGATCTGCATTTCAGCTACAGCTTTAAGTAGGATGTGAACAGACAGATACACACACATGCTATCCACAGAGTTTTCCCAGCTGTGTAACATGGCACGTAACTAATATTTCTGTACCTGGGCCATGCTGCTCAAGTTGCCAGCACACACCAGCTGCTGCTTTCCAATACTGCCATGTGCCATTGATGGTGTGGATCAGCAACTCTCACCCACGCAATGAAAGCTGGGCAAGCCTTGATACTAGGAAGCTATCTGCACACTGAGATACTTCTCAATACAAGTGAAAAAATGTAGGTTTGCCTCTTGTTGGCTACATTAAATTGGCTGTGCCTCTTTGGTAGAGACAAATACATACTAAGAGGAAGAGTCTTGCTAAAGCCTTTGAACTCTGCCTTATTCAGAGAGCATGACCTCTGAGACTTCCTTAAAGTAGCAACAGATGCCTTTTGCTAAAGAGAAGTCATACAAGGCTTTAATTTCCTTTCTTTCTTCTGCACTTTTGCCCAGCTGGGCCAGCCAACTCATGCGGGTGAGAAACTATAAACACCATACAACTGCTTCTCTATTTCTCCTGTAGGAATAAGAGACTATGAAAGTTTCACTCTTGTTTAGAGCACAGCTCAGAAATAAGATCAGCTCACGGCTAAGGACATTTAAGACCAGAGAAATATAGGTCCCTTATTTGTGATTCATTGGAAGCCTGCAATGTTTTATTTTCTTACAATGTTTATTGTGAACAATGAAGCTCATAGAGCTGTAAGAAGGCCTGGCATAATATATTGCTGATTCTACAAGTTACTCTTATCTGCACATACCTCACTATGTCATTTCTTGATTTATTTTTTTAACAGAAGAGACTTGTAGCTGCCTGCTTAGGAAAGATGACACAGCAATTTACTTGCAATGTGACTATTAGCTTAATGCAGAAAGGGTGCAGAAAAGATTTACTGTATTGTTACATTAAAGTAACAAGCGTTTTCTTTGTATTTCCATGAGCAAGTTCTTAGTGTATCATACAAACAAACAAGTATGTTCAAAATTAGTCCATAAAACAAAACAAAGCAACATAATCAATAAAAAACCACTCCCCCCAAAACAATAAAAAAACCCAAAACAATAAGATGGAAAAGAAAATGGAAGCTTTATAGCAAGTAGTTTGGGGCTCAAAGGGTCACATAATAGGCTAAAATAAAAGCTTTCCCTGGCAATAACCTGACAAGGTCACTGCTCCATATAGCTCCATGTACTCTGTATCACAAACATGCTGATGAAAACGATTTTTAGTACAGGGCAATTTCATCCTGAATATCCCTAAACCTCCAGTCTGCCAAACACTTGGCTCATGGGAAAAAAGGATCCATGTCTGCAGTTCCCTGGCACTGGGAAGACTCTCCCAAAGGCATAAACATCTGCAGGATCACAATCCTAATTTGAGACATAAGCTAAAATGCTGAAGAGTTAAAGAAAATCTCGCTCAGGACAGACAAAATCTCTTGTGCAGAAACATCTGCAGTAACCTCGGTAGTCAACTGGGATAAAGAAGCATTTGGCTGAAGGCCTTGCCTACAGTCTAACGGCTAGAGGATGCCTACACTGAGAATTTCAGAGACCTTTACACTTCTGCTTCAGCAGATCTTGTTAGAAATGGTGGGAATACTCTTGTATACTCTGACTGCTACATTTTTATAGCTAAAGCCCTTGAACACTCTTTTAACTAAATAAGAGTGACAGTGACAGGTACCTGCAGCCAACAGTGATACTATTCCTTTGAACTTGGAGATTAATAGTTTATAAGGATTTATGAATGCAGATAAAAAAGAAACCTGTTGAATAGGAAAGCATGTCACTGAAGGAGTAGCAATATTTAATGAGCTGATTGCACACAGAGTATTAAAAATTTGCACAATATCCAGAGAATCATGTACTTGCTTTTAAATAATCCTAAGTTTGAACAATATACATAGTAAAATGGATTCCAATATACAAAGCCTATAATTATATCCCAAGTGCTTCTTTAATCATTTAGGATTACTTCAGAAATTCTTACCTGTATTTACAACTGTATATTCTCACCCTGCCTTGAGTGACAGGTCCAGGGCTATGTACTATTACCTCGGCAGTGTATAAACGATCTTCTTCATTGGCATATTCAAAAACCAGAACATAGCGACCAACTTGAGGAACATTTATGGTCATCTGTAAATTGACCTAGGTCAAGATCATTGAAAAAGAAAAGAAGCAGTTAGATTTTTCACTCCCTTTCCTGCAGGAAGCTCCCTTTTCCTGCCCTGCAAGCCAACCAGTCTGCATTAGTGTCTCAGCAAAAGACATCCAGCAGAATAGAAGCAATGCTGATAAATATAATTTTGTCCACTGATAAAAGTCAACCAAGTTCAAGAAACAGCTGCCACTATAACAGTTTTGAGGAGGGCTGTAAAATAAGCCTAGGAAATGAATATATTATTATTTCTCTTCTCCCCAGTAGAAATTACCAGTGAGGAAACATTAATGATACTGAAAAATTGTCACCCTCATATCTAAGCTGCCTTTAGTAACAAATAAAAATTAACTCTACTACTTCACTGAGAAAAACATTTCCAGGAACACAATTCCTGCTACAGCAGTGCTGTCTATTCCCTACAAAGAGTGAAAGCATCTTCTCCAGCAAATAGCCGATGCCACTTTTCGAAGCATCAAGCTTTTCTTTTAGTTTACCTGAACAAATTGTTTAAAATTATATTTGATTCAAAATACTTTGAAGTAATTGCATGGAAAGTACTGTGGTTACAGTGAGTTTTGCTACAGTTGACTATATAATTATTTTCAAATGTAAACTGTTTTTTTCCTCGGTATTTCCTTAGGCTACAAACACTTAAACACATAAATAATTCTTTCAACAGCCCTCTTGACTTCACTGCAATTATTCACACCAGTAAAGTTTCACGCACGCATCAGTGATGAAACGCCAGGACCTGTGGCATGTTAAGTCTTCTTGTTGCACTTGGTAGTTTAAAAAGCAGTATAAGAGAAAATAGTAATAGAGGACATGAATATTTTACATGTCAGAGTGAAATGTCCACTCAAGTCACAGTTATAAACCTGCCCAAGCTGATCCATTTACATAGCTCTGTATAAAATACAGAACTCAGCACAGAGTCTATTTTAGGGATGCATTACAGATCTGCAAATCCTGAGCTGTGCATCTGCAATCATTTTAGTCCAGCGGGTTTATAGTCAACAGTGCAGAGGGGACTGCACTTAGTTGGCAGGAATCTGACCTCTCTTCCACTGATATGGGACATCACTGGGTGATCAGAAGTTGGCTGTTGCAGAGGTATGTTTCTGTCTTCTCCCCCACGTCGGAGATATGCTGCCTCTGAACCAAGGACACAGGAAAATCTGTCCAATGGCAAATGCTGATAGAGCAAGCAGCTAACACCAAAACAAACCCAAACAACAAAAAACCCACAGGATTATTATTATTTTCAAGTGCAGCAGGATAACAATAAAATAATCCAAGGCAATGGTTTATTCTGTAGCATATATACTGACTGCTCTGTTGAAGCATGTCCAGGATAGGTGCAAGGCTCTGTAACTCCTATCTGCAAGATGGATGCTTCGTAGTAATCACTGGGTAACAGCACCAAATAATCCTAAGAACAAAGAATACAACAAACTCAAGATCGTGCAGCAAATTAAAAAATTAACATCTCTAGACTTTCACAACTTAGCTACAAATAAAACCAACCACAGAAATCGTTTTTACAGAGGATATCGGCAAGATGTGGATTTTTTTTGTTCTTACATTGGCCAATAGCATCTGAATGTGCCTCCCTAACTCTATTTATACCTACATAGAGATAGGACAAAGGCAGCTGCCACGTGAGCAAGGAAACTCTGAAGCCACTGTCCCATCATGTGCTGTACAAGACAGTGCTCATAAAGGAGCCTCCTCACTGCTTGGTATCACACAGCCAGCTCGGGAGAGTTTTCACCCATGTATGCAACCCACATGCACACAACTCAACCATGTGTGACTCTGCAAGGGAGATTCACATACCCCAAGTATCTTCATAAAATATCCCATGCAATCTATTAAGCTGCACTTCAAAAGGTGGTCTATTTTTGCTCTGTCTTCCCTACTTAAATTAATATATTAGAGCTTATTTATAAAAACTGTTATTGTGAAAAGATGCTGGACTAAGATCATTAATAAATTCCTTTTCAAAAGTGTTAGTAAAAGACCTGGGCATAATAAGTACTGTCACTTTCAGCAAAAAATATGTTTGCAAGCTCTTTAGTAACATTTTATGTTGTATTTCATAAATTTAACAGAGCCCCAGGCTTAATTACTAAAGGCACTGACTACTTGTTAACCCGATATAATATAGATATGAATTTCAGTATGCTGTCTTTGTTATCATACATGTTTAGGTTTTTTCATAAATGATCACCTCAAAAAATTTGTCTTTTTATAGAAATTTTTCAGAACTGCTGTCAGAAATGTTTTCAGTCTTCAAGTGAGTGAAAGGAGAGTAATGATTGCAGGATAAAAACATTTAGAAAATAACCTGCTAATCATGTAGCCCATCTTCTAATACTTATTTGTTGAATCTTTGTCAAGAAACTAAGGCCTTGGTCATCTGGGGCTGAGTCAAGCTTTAGATACAACATTTGATATGTAAGAATTATGAATCTCTGTGAGCATTTATGCTCAACCGATTGTGCTGTATGTTAATATTACTTTATACATGGTACACATTTTCACAGGTACACATGCTGGATAAAGTTTGTAAGCGCATGAAAAATTAGAGTAGGTGAAATAGAAAAAAAAAAGAGGCAGATCTGTAAATTTTCATAATGATATTCTGCTGCTGTACTCTTTTCACTAGTGCTGAATTTCAATCACTTACATGGTTCTTCCCAGCAAATAACTTCAGAGCTATACTATCACGACAGCCTTCAAGCTCTACTTTTCCTCAATTGTTTTCTTACCAAGAGGACTTCCTCTGCCATTATACTGACAGTCCATGTGCCTGGAACCAGTGAGAAAGCCTCTGTGGAGCTTTTTCCTGGGATTGTGACAAAAGCTGGCTCCTTGCTGGGTGGGAAGACAAATTCTTTGCTCTGAACAGCCCCTGTCAGCAAAAAAAAAAAACCAAGTACAAAAATAAGGGACTGTGTAAAATGTCTCCACTTGCTTAGTGTGCTGGATTGATTAAATTTGGTCTAACAGGAGCTGAGCAATGCTTTTCTGTCAATACGAATTAAGAGTGCATTCAACCACACACAGTAAGCTACAGAGCTGTGCAGTGGTTGTTGTCTTTGTTCTTGTTAGTCTTGAGCAAATTGGTTCAGGAAAACAGAGCTCTGCCCCTGTAATGGCCAGTTCTGCAATATTCTGAAATGCCCAACCTTCCACTGTTTTCCATTCAACCTGTCTCTGCACTGACTCGCAGTATGTTCAGCTGACACAAGGCCTATTCTCATGTAACTTTCACCCAAATATTTCAGATACTGGAGGTTCTCGGTAGCATCTAAAATGTTTAGTTACATATAGTAACTGAAGGTAACTTCTGGGCAGAGATGATGTACAACAGAAACATAGCTGCTGTATGCTTTATCAAAAAGAAGTCGTGAGGATCAATTGTTATGAATATTAAAGGTTGCCTCTTTGAAACCCTTGGACACAGACAAAAGCTGGTTCCCTGCCTCTCAGGCAATATAAGCCAGACATGACCACAAACTGCTGCCACTCTGCCGAGTGGTATCTGTGAAGTCTTCAGTTTTGTCTTCTCCAAATTACTAAAAGGATCTATAACTAAATTCCATTAACTCCCATGAATATGCAGAGTTTAGGCATAATAAGAGATAATTCTGCATATAGGCTTGGTATGTCTCTACCATTCAAAGGATATGGAATATTTGTCTTTTATCAGAGCCCAAAAAGCATCACATGCTGCCAAGGTCTGTAAACAAAGCTAACTTGATAGATTGGATTCACCATTAAATAAATGTTATGCATGGAATGAAGGCAGCAGCCACCTTTAAACTGAAATATTAAGGCAATTAAACCAAAATAAGTGCTGTTATCCCTTTAAAAGCTTCATAAAACACAGTTCAGAGCTTCCAAGAGCAGAGCTGAGAGTGCTGAGGTCGGCACACATTTGAAAAAACAAATGTGATTGCTACCGTAAGCAGGTGGTTTCATGCAAACACAGTCACATCAGTTACATGGCAAAATATATTCGGAAAAGCACAAAAGCACTGACACTGTTAAAAGTGATGCATTTTAGTGACATTACAAATTCAACTTAGATGAAAAGGCTCCTCTGATCTAAGATTCATCTGATCTGTTGCACCATTGAGTTGCACCTACCTGTTTCAGGCTGAGATAGACAAGCAGATATGCGACCAGATAATGTTTCACCTCCAGGGTTAATATACCTCAGGATAACGCGAAATAAGTAGAGGTTTGATTTTTCCACATTCAAAGTTATCCTCACTTCATTCTGAAAAATGGAAGTTAATAAACAAAAATAGCCATAAAGCGCTGAATAGAGGTACAGTTAGAAGCCATGCAAGCACCATACTGAAGTCCTACAAGAATAATGCACATGCAGACAAGTCTATACTCGAATGGCAATGCTGGTGTATGACAGAGGAAGACAGGCAAGCCTAGTGAGAAAATTAATTCACTTACAAGTATAATTAGTGCCAAAATGTTTTCCCTCAGCAATTGAGATCTTCCCTTTAGAGCTTTTTGAGCCCAGGCTGACATAGCGGAGGACTAGGTGGAAGAGCTTAGGGGAAGCCACAGTGACAGGCACAACCACCTCTGGCTGGGAAAAATAAAAAGAAAGGGAAAAAGGAGGAAAGGAAAGTATATTATTTGTTACTAGCACCCAGAGAAAGAAAAAACATTTGGCAAAGACAAACTCCGTAAGAAAAAAGAAAGACTTGAGCAGCTTAAAAAAGAACATAGAACAAAGCCTCCTGTGAAATAAAACTCTTGTTGAATAATAACCTATCCAGAAAGACATGGAATGGCTGAACTAACATGCATGGTGATATTGCATCTTGAAACCTGGATATTATTTTATTGTTATTCTCCTCTCCCTTGTCGTAAAGGAGACATATAGTATCAAGGGCTGTCCATATTCCTGGCTTCCCAAGAAACAGGCCAGAATCATTGATCTTAGTCTGAGCTCACACAATGCTCCACAGCATGCGGACATCTCAGACCATCACTGAAACTTCTGCTCCTCCAACAGATCCCTCAGTTTCTTCGAAATTCAATGCTATGACTCTCCTTGCTCTGGGACTGAACTGAAACCTCTGGAGCCACACAGTTCTTGTCAGCCTGGTCCAGCATTGAGCCTGCAGGAGGCTGCGTCCCACAGCCTCCATTATTTACTAAGAATGGTGCAATCCCAGGGGTTTGGTTTTCTTCTTTCCACCCCAAATCCTGAAGCTCCAATCCTAATCCAGCTCCCACCAGTTCACCCAGCACAGTCCACTCACTGTCTCTTTTCAAGAAGCTTGTGAAATGGTAACCTCCCCATCACCGTGGTCCTTTCTGCTTCCCCAAAAGCATACAGGCTTTCTCAGTTCTATACATCTGGGAATGGAGCAAAAAGCCTCATTTTCTTTTACTGCTAAAAGCTGCAATAAATTCTAGACTGCCAGCTCCCATATGCTGCTCTGCAAGTATATTCCTCAATTCTGTCACCATCATCCCAGAGACTTCCACTTTCTTAATAGAAATGCAAAGCAGAAAGCAAAGATAGACAGACAACAGATGGCAGGGCCAAGACCAACTTACAATAATAGCAACACTCACTAATCCAAAGAGTGATACAGTGCCAAAGTGTTTGGATTAGTGAGATCCTGTCCTTTTTTCTGGTTTCTCCATGACCTTGCATACACAGAGCAGTACTATGGAGAGATATATACCATACATCTATGTTTTCACCCAAAAGCCTTGAATGAAATACCAGCTTACCTGTATAGAGGACATCTGGGCATATCCTCTCCAACTGAAGCTAGGAAATTCCTGGAGATCATAGCCAAACCGGATTTCTCTTCCCTTGACAGTAGTACCATCTTCAATCTCAAACTTCATGTGGTGTAGATCAGGGAAGAAATAGTTTTTTTCAGGTCTTTCAAGAAGAAAAAAAAAACAACCAAAGAAAGAATTACCAGTTGCTGTACAGTCTACATGTAAGTACATAAAGTGGTAGAAGCAAGGTGACCTACTGATGACAGAGGAATCCTGATAGCAACTAATAAATTAAAGACAGCTGATAAGGTGGATGTAACGAGAACTCTCTTTCCAAAAGCTTTTACAGCTTACATATGTTTTCCTAGATAAGTCTTCATAGATATATAGATACATATGCAATACTGTTGCAAAACAGGTTATTGGTTATTTAAGGAAACAAGTTTAAAAAATCTTATTAAAGTAACAGAAGAAAACTGCCAGGCAAAATGGGTATCTGTAACTAATACTACAATTTATTGTACTACATCATTTACAGCTTATTTAAAAACAAATTCAGAATCTCATGTAAAAGGATAGCAAGGGAGGGCTGGGCAGTTTCAAAAGAACTGTGCTGCAGCACCAGCCATCAGGACTTATAGCCAAACTCACTCCTGACAGGTGGTCCCCACGACATGCGCCCTGCACTGGCAGCTACCCAAGGGCTCGGCACACACCAGGCTGAGGGATCCTCCAACATCACAGCGGCAGCCTGCCAGGCAAAGAGCAGAAGTCAAACATCCCATCAGGAAAAAGTGATAAAAGCTATCAGAAAACACACCATGCTTCGGCTAATTAAACACCGTTACTGACTCATCTGCTCTTTCTGGGGCCCTTCAGGCTCCCCGCCCCGCAGACTCTTACAAACACACATGCATAAACTGAAATTACTTCTGACCTCCCATGTTCGTGGGTTTTTTTTCAGTTCTCCTTGGAATGTGACAAAATTCCCATGTTCATGGGGTTTTTTTCAGTTCTCCTTGGAATGTGACAAAAGCCACTTTAAAAAACAAAAAAAAAGACAAGTAATAAGCCATGCCAGATTACCAAGTGCTCGATCACGGTTTTGCAGAACAGCCATTCAAATGTTTTGCTAATAAGCCATAATTTCTACAACAATGTCATGATGAAAAATTATACAAACAAACAAACAAAACCTAACTACAGAAATGTTAATTTTTCAGTCTGCTAAGCCAACATTTAATTTATATTACAAAAACTGCACACAAGAACATATGTGTTCATGTAATTGCATATTCATATTTTTAACCAATATTGAACAATATTGAATGACTTTCTATAGGACATGTGGCACAAACTAAAGGACACCTCTAGGCATGAGGCATAGTATGTTGTACTAAGGAGCAAGTATGTCTAGGCTAAAAGTTTCAAGTTGAATTGAAAGCTTGAGAGATCCTAAACAAATATTTACATCCTAATGTAAAAGTATCTTGTTTTCTAAGATGTGTTGAGCACCTGTAACCTCAGTGAAATCAAGAATAAAGTACTCAACACCTTTGTGAAACCACATCTATTTCACAGCTCTGTGGCTTGAATACAGGCATGAAAGCTGTGTTTGATACACTATCCATTATTATTAACTCTGCACATTTTAAGTTATTGTTAGAAGTATGTCAATGCTTTAAAAATAAAACTCTTGCACCTACCCTGGACAGGTGTAAAGCACACTGAAGTCAGTGAAAGTGTTTTCAATAATTTTAACAAATCTGAATCTACTGGGAGGGGGGACAAGGAGGGAATGGAAGTGCTGAAGTAGCCCTAGACCCCTCACAACACATGGCAGAGTATCCTGCAGAAGAAGGGCCACTTTCTCCACATCACAGCCATCTGGCTCTGCTTGAAAACACACTGAGCCCTGGGCTAAAGCAAAAGACAAATATACTGCAAAAAATATCAAGCTAGTACCTGCTGTAACATTTTAAGCTTTTATTGCAGCAGCAGACCTCAGAAAACTGCTAAGCAGAACAGTCTTATGGGTAACGCTTGCAGGAAAATCAACCATCCTTGGCCCCACAACCAGCGAGGAGTGAGAGAAGGAATGACTTTCGATTATCATCTTTGAGAACAGCTTCAGCAGTGCCTCGTGTGATTTCACTGTGGGCTTTGACAGAGAAGCCTCAGACAGGTGGCGGTAAAGAAGGCACAGGGAAATGCAAGGCAAAGGACAATGAAGTCAAAGAGGAACACCTTTCCTCAAGTGAGCAAGCCACAGAATGGCAGGGAACCACAGTGGTAACATCTGCCTTGTTCTTTCTCACTTTGGAAGGCAGAGTCACACAGGTTACAAGCAATTATAACCAATAGCACAAAATGCTGTGCTCATAAGTGATTCAACAAATACACCCACATTTTCAAAATACAACCTAGAGGATTCCAAAGACTTTTGTGCTAGGTGCAAATGTGCTGCTAGAGATGTCCTTTATTCATTTTACCTCGGCAGCCAAAATAATTCTTGTTTTCAAGAGCGTAGTAACCAGCTTCGCAAGTGTCACAGGAATCTCCACAAACATTAGACTTGCAATTACAATGCCCATTTTCCTATGAAGAAAACAACTTGATCAAAAGTGTTTCAGCGCCTTTTTCAGAACTTTTATCTTTCAATACTGTGAACTCCCTCTAATTCTAAAGAGGAAGAACATTCTGATCTCAACAGAAATATTATCTTGACAGAACTTCTGTCATTCATCACCTTCAATTGAGTAGACTAGAAAATACACAAAATCAAGATGATGAAAAATTTTCAGAACTTTGATACATCCCTAGGATGTCACTAGATACTTTATGTGCAAAAGCAAGAATCGGTTCTAAGATTTCTACCTTACTAAATATTACAACAATTTATCTTTAAAAAATAAATTTAATTAAAGTTTTTCTTTTAATGTCACTGACCTGCTGACATTCTCCAACTCCACTTAGTGTTCCACTCACATCACACTGGCACGCTGCACAGATGAGAAAAAGACAATCTGCATTTCATCTTTCCAGAATACTTTGTGGGGACAAGTGGGAAGGAGAACACACACACAAAAAACCTCAATCCAAAAATGAATCAGCAGTTCTGAGTCTTAGAGCCACAATCTCTGGAAGGTTCAGAATAGCAAATGGATATTAGCATAAAGTGAGAAGAGAAAGAATGAGGATTTCTGTGTATATGTGCTTTATGGCATGTCCTATAACTTGTGTTTAACAAAAACAGTCTTGAGTTTAGATTTATAACAGCTTTAATTCTTAGAAACATTCAGACAATTTATGTAAAACGGTGTCGTCCAGCCTTATTGGAAGCTCCTATTCTGCAGTGCTACTCTGGGACCAGTTCAACTCTCCGTATGACACATAAATGAAGCAAATACTGCAGGAAGGAGCTATGCTGACCTAGAGATTTGGTGAAACCCAGTACTGACTCTGTGACCGAACACAGAGAAAATAAATGACATGAAAAGCGCAGCAATAAATCTTTTAGGAGATGTTTAGACTGTATAGAATTTGGAGATTTAGAGCTAAAGTTGTCATGATATTGGTATTGGCTCTAAGGCTGCTCATTCTACCTAAGTAGCTGTTGTGGTGGAACCTTTTGGAAAGGAAATAGTTGGGAAGAAAAAAAAACCTTTAAGATTTTTTTTATCTTTTCTAAATCCTTATTATTATTTGCCTGAAAAACACACACTCGCTGTTAGAAAATATTGGATTATATTATGTAGGCATAAACCATAACAGATTTGTCACATTCTGAGGCCACAACAAGGCTTTTCATCCTCTACAAGGTAGGAGATGATAACAAGTGAAAAAGCACCTTTTCCTCAAAACAATGAGCCAAATTCTGGTTTCAGTGTGAAGGACAGCAATCTCTTCTCACTCCAGTAAAACTGCCATAGTGCCATATGAAGTACACATTGTAACTCAGAGCACACCTTGGTCTAACACTAGCAAACTTGAAATTATGGTCTTATTTCTAAAAGTAACCACTGGTATCATGGGTAATTTGGTGTTACAATTAAGTAGCATGAAAAACATTCTGTTAAGATGGTGATGGCAAATAAAGATTACTTTCAAGGGAATTTAAAACATTCCATAAAGCCATATAAATATGTCGTTAAGCCATACCTGTACATCCCTCAGGGTTCTCTTTGGCCAGGTTCCAGTACAGCGGTTTGCATTTACTACAGGTAGGACCTTCAACGTGCTGAAGACATTGACAATAGCCCTAATGACAGAAAGGAGTTAATATGGCTTCAACTGTTCCATAAAATACATACTGCTCTTCAGTACTGAGCTTATTAACAGTTCAGGCAGTTCGCTGACTTTTATAGATGCATGGAGACTGTGGCTGATTCAGACTTCTTTGATTTTTCTGTCTCATACTATCAGCACAGGATGGTTCCTTTCATATTTTTCCATATCTAATTTATTCCAAATTTCTCAATGGATGTACTTTCCAATTCTTTTTTAGCCTTATAAGAACTGCTCTAAAGTATTAACTACTTTTCAAAATGTTTAAAAACCGAATTTCCTTACAAATAATAGTTTATTTTCATATTATCTCCTTCCTTTCTAGGTGGAAGACACACACAGCTGTATAAATGAGCCTACATAGATACCTCTTACATTAGTCAGACTTAACCTCTAGGTCTTCTTTGCTACACATTTAGCCATGACCGTGATTTCTGGTAATATGATACTTCTAATAACCATCACTGTATTAATAATGATAATAGTGGAATAGCAAGAGTTACAACGAGGTAATATTTTTTTCAAGAATAATTTGGTGCTGAAATGGCCCATTGCAACCCAGAAGTAGAGGGTCTTTGAGACATGCACAGGCATGTATGCACATCTGCCTATATAGATTAGCATTCTACCATACCGAAAAACTTATACAGTATGCATATTCCATATAGAAAAGTTTTATTTTTTAAATCATTAACATTGCACTGATATATCAAAGAAGAAAACACAAAGTTTATTTCCACTCTTACTCTGCAAATAAACTTGTGCAATTCTTTCACAGTCTAAAAGCAAACTTCAGGGCTTGGGCAATGAAGTGAATGTGTCCAGCAATGACACGTGATTTATTAACACATATTGTTAGCTGCAGTGATATAATACTTACAGAATGAGAACCAATGCTACCTGAAGGGTCACATTCACTGTTGACACCTTTATGTAATAAAAAACAAACAAATTGAAAGATCTTTTGTAAACAGAGCTGTGGAATGTAGTAGTGCAGAAGTGTAGCAGGTGTAAGTTTGAAAGAGCTTTTTAATATGATTACCTTGGAGGGACTCAAACTTGAAACTTTAAGACCAGCATTTAATAATGATTTTTCAAACATGTATTTAGCCTGGTTTAGACTATTTGGCTTGGTATGCTAAGCAGTCACTTGGAAAAATATAGCACTATCTTACAGAACTAAGAGACATTTTCTTAAAGTTTCTGTGCCATCACCTAAAAAAAGGTTTTAATCTTACAGTTCACTTCATGAAATAACATCTAGAATAAGAAATAGGCTCATCTAATATATGCTTCTGGTATGTCGCTCCCTCCCCATGCTTCAGAGAGTTTCTATACAACTTTGCATGCAACAGACTGCCCTGGAGAACCCTGCAATAAAAATGGGAATGAGCCAAATCAGAATGGAGGATTTTCCCTCAGAAGTGTTACCTTCGCAGCTGGGGAAGCTGTTGGCTGCAGAAAGGCATCTGTCGCACTGCCGCCCTGTGACGCCCGTTCGACACTTGCACTGCCCCACCATTGGCTCACATGTACCGTGCTGGGAACCATCGGGAGAGCACTCACAAGCTACACAACGACAAACAGTGACAGTGGTGGGAGGGTTCACCCTGTAGGTACCAAGCAATAACTTCCCAAAACGTTAGTGCTATAGGGGTTTGAGTTCTATTTGTCCAGAGTGTTCTTCATTTTCCTTTGCAACAAATAGCTCACAAGGTCCTCCCATAACTTATAGGGTCCTCATCCCTGCTTGGAACCTATGAGTTCGTGGTGATCTGTACCATTTTGGCATTGTTTTCTTCCCCTACTTTTGACAGAAACAGGTAGATTATCTGGAACGATACTAAATCTCCCTTCCTCAAGTTTTTTGTCCTGTCCTAAGAGCAGGCTTGGTTTTGGTTTTCTGCTTTCTTGATCTTCTTTTGGTTACAGAAAGCACAGGGCAAATTCTGTAACTACAACTGCACTTAAAAATATGACGGTGTAATAAAGCATATAAAATCGTATGCCCATCACACCTTTAGATCTGAGGGGAAGGGGGGCCAGAAATAGGTTTTGAAATACAGCATACAGCAGTCTTATTGTTTCTGATTCCTACACAGGGTCTTATGTTTGCAATGATTTACACACAGGGCAAATAAAAATAATGGGAGGTGGATGATTTGCAAAGTCAAGTCCTTCTAGACTAGGATTTATGGTGCAATCTTGGTGCATGTCAATAGCACACACTAATGCACTTCAAAGCTTACTGGAGAATGTATCAAATATTAGAAGCCCATACCAGTTGAAACAGTTTATGTTCTGTAAGATGAGTGAGCTAGATCTCATAAACGTACATGTCCATAGCCCAGCCTAAGCTTTGGATTTCATATTTTAAAAGAGAGATACAACTGTGCCAAGGCTGAACACTGCCATGCTCACATTAATCCAACTAGCACAGGAACAGTGATGATGTGCCAGGGAGGACTACCAGAGTGCGTGCCTGCCAGGAAGCCTGGCCGCTGGCTGGATCTTTGGTTTTGTTGGCAGCTTTAGATGGAACAAAATTAACACAGTTACACAGGTAACTCCAGTAAAGGAAAGAAAGGCTTTTACTCACGCAAGCAGCTGGGATAGCTGTAATAACCTGGTGCGCACTGGTCACATCTAAGTCCGGCATAGTTACTATAGCACAGACACTGCCCTTGAGGATCACATGTGTTCTCCGCTGAGCCAACAGCATCACAGTTACAATCTGCACAGAGAAAAAAAATAGTAACTATCCTAACAGATACACGTCTAAACCAGCAGTTACTTAAACCTGAGTTTGCAAACAAAAAAAGCCCAAACAAATAACTGTCACCTTTGAATGTAAAGTTATCATGAGGAATCCAGACAAACCATAATTTTACCACCAAAAATAAATATCCTGAAATAGATGCTTACAATGTAATTGCGTCCTCAGCCACTTATAATCAGGTTCATACTGCAATTCTGTAATGTACAGTTTAAAGATTTAGTTCGATGCCTGAAAAAACACATGTGTAAGGGACAGGAATGCATCTTAAAATGGAAAGATCACATGAGAAAATTACTTAACACCTTTGAGAACCAACCTCTGACAAACAGCATCCACAAAGCCAGGCAAGGTTTAGTGGCTGACAAGATTATTAATAAAGGAGATGATGATGCACAAGCATGATGCACAAATAAATGATGCACAAGGTGAAATACTGTTGACATCTTAATCCTACAAGATGGGAAGCTGTGCATTGCAGGAACCTGCGTCTAATACACAAGGCACATGGTCAGACTGTAACAAGAATTATTGCCAGACTATAAAAACCAACTTCTCTTGGAATTATCACTATTTTAGTCTGATATCTCTATTCCAGATAAGATGTGCTATTTTATTGAAATTATTCAGGAAGTTACACAGGACCACACTTCATAGGTACATGAATGGGAGCTCGTTGGAGATTCCCAGCTGCCCAATGTACATGCCAAAGTGTTGCAGTTCATCACTTGGATTTTATGACTGGAAGAAATGGCTGATTGACAGAAATATAAAACAAACACTGTCTTTCCATTCCACATTCATATTCCTGATTCCCCCTTTCAGTTCCTCTTTCTGCTGCAGTCAAGGACCTCTGACTTTGCTGTTTACTTCAGAAATGTCTGCAAAGACAGAGGGCTTGCTAGGAAATCAGTAGAAGAGAAATACAAATACTGAAGCTACACCTACACTAAAGTCCACCCCCAGCTGAACATTATATTGCAATCTCTCCTCATTTTAATAGCACTGATTAGTTTAAAGGCTTTATTTTCATATTACGTTTATTGAATAAAGCTTATATTCAGTTCAACAAGGCAAGACCAGAGAGATCAGTTTTCGTGTCAGCAGCCAGAAAGTTATATATCTACCTCTCCTTTGAAGATGACAACTGTAAACAAGAGTAGCAGGCTGGACTGCTCACTTTTCACCACATTTTGCAACATGTTGCATTAGTTTAAATTCAAACCCATGGCAGCTTATTTTAACAGAACAAGCTGTGAACTGCAGCAGTTCCGAGTAATCCCACTGACTGTGTTTTCAACTATTTTTATGCATCTTTTACAATTTGTTTTTGCATGCTCTTTTAAGATTTTATGTATTTTTTTCAGCTTTTGGTATTAAAAGTTAAAATGTATTCAGTATTGGTTTGATTTGTCTTCTGATTCCATTCTAAGAAAAAAGAAAGTGGTGGTTTTTTTTAAGAAAACCACTGAACAGCGTGTACCAACACAGAACCCTGACTTCATGTTTTTCATTAAAAAATGCTAATCTACTCCAGACCATAGAGACATAGACATGCAGTATTTCTTTATTCCAGCCATTGCATTTGGCAACATAACATAATATATCTTTGCAAGAGCATATAGAATTCTGCTGTCTATTCACAGGACATAAACAAGTATGCAAGCCCAAAAGGAAGAAGACTGCTATAGCCAACAATCACAAATAATGTGAGAGAAGTAAATCATAATGTTCTATATAATTCTTGTTACGCTGTACAGGAAAGCATATGCCAGAACTCATCAATACCCTATATTCTTTCTCAATGTAAAACTCAATAAGGATTAAAGGCCTCTCTTTCTCTCACTGCAAAACAGATGAAACTTAGCAGCCAGACAGGACTTGATGGATTCCTCATATGCACACAGGAACATTATGATATTCAAGGTTATACTCCATTGACCTCCCTCTCTTGTAAAAAGCAGGACAGCACCTGAAAAGAACTCCTGTCTGCCTTTTCAGGGGCCTGTTTGATGCTGTGCATACAATCAGCAGCCTTACCTTGACAGGCAGGGAACGAGTGGTGGCCAGGCTGACAGCTGTCACACTGAAGTCCAGCTACCTCAGAGCGACAAAGACACCTTCCAAGAAAATCACAGACTTCAGGCTGGGTACCTGCTGAGTTACATTCGCACACTGCAAATGAGAAAAGAGTTCAGGGGCAGCCTCTGCACGGGCTCTCTTCTTTTATCTATCTTGAAATAAAAAAAAAAATTTAAAAAATGAAAGAAAAAGCAACTGCCTCATGCTTAACAGGACCAAAATCTTCTAATCAGATTTATTTTGATTTGTAACAGCTTTTATTGATTGCCCACATCAGTAATAATACAGCATCAAGGGAGACATTAATGAAAGAGCAAAAGAGTCAGGCTCAAAGCAACTACTGGGTTCAATACCAGTGTTGAAGCACTACATTTGACCTGTCCCCACTCAGAGTCTGATTTATCGATCTCAAGTGGTTTGCCAACCACTGAAAGTAGTTCCATCCTTTTCAAGACTAAAATGAAACCATTTGTGGTTTGGAATTACAATCTCAGGTGGGAGAGATTAGTAAAATACCTAAAAAGACAGTACAGAGATGATTAATAAAGTTTAAAACCAGTGAGTTTTCTAGTATTGATTAGAAAGGCTGGCTTGATGCATCAAAGTGAGGTTGCAAGCTCAAATTAAACACAATTTTTTTTTTTTAAAAAAGGACAAGTAACAGAAATGTTCCCACCGGTATTCTAAATTTCATCAATGTTACTAAATCCATCCTCAAACTGGAGCCTGACAGCTCCACACAGTGGACAATGATCAAAGAGATAGGGGCATTTTTAGATAGAAATATACCCCTCATAGTGTTTTAATTCCTTTTTTCTACTTCTGTGAATTTTGGGAGAGCCCCTTATGAACATATCTCCATGGCAAAAGAACTTCATTCCTCAGTATGAAAATTGAGTCTATATTTTGGATATGCTTGCTGAAAGGGAATGTTTTGGCTTGCCCTGGCAGAAGGGTAATGAAAATACCCAGCTGCGCAGGTATCACAGGAAAACCCTTGAAATCCAGTTTGGCATCTGCACTGTCCAGTGTTTCCATTGCAGTCACTGCCCAGCACTCCTGCACCATGGCACTGGCATGCTAAAGAGCACATTTGTAAAAAAAAAAACATTTGCGGTGTCACGAAGTTCCTATTTCACTTGGAAGCCAAATGCTGGCATTTACACCAGAGAGCAGGCTCCAAGCATCAACAAAACTACGGCACTTACACAGACACTGGGGGCCAAAATATCCTGGTTTACAGCCACCTTCTAGTTACAACAGGAAAGGGGAAGAAAGAAAGGAACAAAGTTAGTGCAGAAAATCAGGCAACTCCTCACATTTTTGCAGAGAAAACCAGATCAGTGCTTAGTAATTATTACTCTAGAACCAACAAAAGTATCTGTATGACACTTACACACAAACTTCATTAAAGAAAAATTTAATTGTGCTTTTTCTGGAGTATAAATTTACTACTTCTACAGACACAGAAGCATCTACTTAGAGGCAGTTGTCTTTCTTATGCCTTCAGACTCAGATGCTATTTGTTGAAAATGTAAGTAGCTCAAGACCTGCTCTCTCCCGTAAACAATTCTTCATTTTATCTTCGGAGTTTTCTTCCTTCCTCCTTTTAAAAATACGTGAGAGAAGAGAATATGCAACAGATGGATGCTGTACAAAGGAGATAAGTGGTACAGGAGACTGAGGCTTTGTGGGCTATGATGGTAACTGCAGACACTTTCAAGAAAACGACTGGGACTTGTAAAAACATATATGGATTTGTACTGTCTGCTTATATCTGAATGTCTGCTACCTTCACAGAAGAACACACTTTTTCATTTGCCAAAATAAACTCCCTTTCTACTAAAGCAAATAGAAATAAAGGAGAAGAATGTTGATTTTAGGCCATGACCAAGGTTGTGAGGTTTTGTTAAATCCTGAAGTGCATTACAAGTATGTAATTGATTAAGTGCTAGCTGTGATGATGTCTCAGTTCTGCAGTATAATAATATACACTAAAAAATATAAACCCACTGAGGGAATAATTGTATTGATTTCAGGCAGCTTTGCAGTGGGCTAAATAAGAAATATGTAGCTTTCTTAGAAATCAATTTCTTCACTGCCAAGAGCAATGCACAGTTTGTCAGGTGCAAGAGGAGAGTCCAGAAGCAGAGGCCACTTAGCCTTAAAAGATTTACAGCACAAAGCATCTGACAAGTTGCACATGTCAGAAAGTCTTGAAGGATCTTTCATAAGAACACCAAACAAGATGGTCAGCCTCTTCGGCAGATGCTTGCCAGAAGCTTGTCAAACTTATTTTGATCCAGAACTCTTTCTGAAATGAGCCTACTAAACTGTTTAATACAGACATGACAATATGATGAACTTCACACAAGAACAAAGGGTCTCTGAAAGATAAATACCAACAGTGGCAAAATTACTACATAAATCTTCATGAAAGAGCAGAGACCACTGAAATAGTGAAAAATAGTGACATGAGGAAATGGGGGGGGGCAACCCAGACACCAAGAACTTGCCAATTATGTCACCAGCCATAGCATCTCTTGGATTTGGAGTAGTAAAAGGATATACAGGAATACCTTTAAAACAAAAGAAACAAAGAAGTGTATTTGAAACAGACACAGTAATTTCACTAAAGGTTATGACAAACCATGAAGTCATCTCCTGTCAATACAGAGATCATGATATTGGCATAACTTTAGCAATCAACTTCAGCTTAGGTTTCTTTCAGTTAGGAACAGGATAAGGAACATTTTACTTTAAATCTCCAATTCAGGTACATGTCCCTTCTTAAAAAAATGAATGGCCAGACACCATTTGGAAATGCTACCAGGTTCCTTTCCTGCTCCCTTCCCTTTGGTACAGAAAGCTTTCTCTTGCTAGATGGTGTTATGAGAGCTATCTAAGGAGCTCCATATTTATTTCACATTTCCTGCTTACAGCTGAAGGTCCATCTCCTGTTATGTGGCATTGTCACTCGCTGCCTGAACTCCCAGAATTCATGACATGTACATTAAATCTTGGGAGCTTTGTAGTTGAGAATCCTCTCGATTAGGAATGGGAAAGACATCCCAACAAACATCCCTCCATTAAGGTGGGATCCAAAGTTCATGCTACAAAGATCGGTGGGATTTAGATCAAGGTCTACCGGAGCTGAATTCACTTTAAAATGCAGGATAACAAACAAGTGTATAAATTAGATGTGACAATCTTGAGTACACTGTACAGAGAGGATTTATATTACCATAGCGATTAAATTCAAACGACATTTCATTTTTTACACTGTTTTTTTCCTCCTTTGTTTTGTATTGATTTCCCTTTTCTTCCATTTTTATCATGGTGCATCTCTTTTAGTCAGACCTCAGATCTTACGCTTAACAACACTTCTATTGGCTGTCAGAAACATGCTTCTTCTGAGGGCACAAAACATCCCACTGGTGCATTCTTAGAACCTGATCGTGGAGTCACAAGCTTTTATCCAGCAAACACAGTTCTGGTGTTACTCTTTCCTCAATTATTTTATATATAATTTGTTTATGGGGAAAGCATTTAATTTGCTGAATTCACAACACAATTTTAATATCTCTATTTTAAAGTAAAAATCTAATTTTCAATTAATCAATAGCATTAGTCAGCACTCTGTTACAATGCTCCATAAGCAGTAGCACTCAGCATTTGTGTCACATTGTTTTTTCTAATATGTGTATTTTCTTCAGATTTACAAATACCTTTCCTTCAACCACTTTTTTAAAAATCTGAAACAAACTGGAACCCTTCCTTAGACCACATATCTGCACCTGCCCGCAGTCCACCAAAAATAAGAGAGCATTGCTGAAAGCCCTATGCTCTGCCAGAAGCACCTTTCCAACATTATGCAGGTGCTATTTTAGAGTTATTTTGATTTATTTTAGAATCCTGCAAAAGCCCACAAGCTTTGTTTATCAGGGATGCAAGTTCCAAATCCTAGGCGTTGTCAAAGAGAACACACATTTTCTCCCATCTCTCTCACTACAGTCCCTGAGACCGTGAGACACAGTGTAACAAAAACTGTTAATTCTTTAATGCACATTTAAAATACTGGAAAAGAGGTGTTTTTATTTGTATACTTACGGAAACAAAACGGGTAACCATAGAATCCATCAGCACAGCGTTCACAATTTTCTCCTTGGAAATTCTGCTTACAGAGGCAGCGGCCAGAGCCTTCCTCACAGCCCTCTGCATGCTCCGAGTTACAGCTGCAGGCTAAGCAAGTATCAGCAATTAGGCACTCTTTGGAATAGAATTCATTTGCCTTTTACAGCAGTGCACAATGGCATTATAACAGTAAATCTGCTGTTGTGAATGCCTCGTTATTTAAAGAATTGACATTTGCATGCTGTTACATATTTTCCAAGTAGTTTGCATCATGAATTAGTCTTCACGATATCCCTTAGAAGCAGGACCTATGTTATTTTCTTAGAGTGTTTATTTTTTTTAAATTCAGATAGCTCCATGTTATTGCTCCATAGCACTGCTGCAACTACCTATTCCATGGCATCTGCTCATCTCTCTCCATGGTGTAAGCTAAGCACCACGCTCCATCCACCTTCCCTTAGACACCCTATGCAACGTTATGGCAGCATGCCACACAGCTCCATTGACTTCCCATTCATTTCAATACCCAAACACAGCAAACCATAGCCATCACAAGGCTCCTTCAGCCTGTTAGTAATTCCATGTTTATCTCTTACCTATACTCAGTTCTTGTTTTTTAAATTCTATATTAGTAATTATCCTATTGCATTATTTATCAGTTGTTAGGCTCAGCAGTGCATAAAACAGGAGTGGTGATCCTCATGACCTTTTGAGATATAGAATAAAATTTTCAAGTGACTAAGATACCAAAGAATACCTCAAATGTACATCAGAGAACTACGGGAAGCAAGGTCATGAGGGTAGGATATAAGAGTGGCTTCTTAGCAGTCATGCCAGCTCACTGGGGTGTGTGTAGCAACACTTCAGGCTTCTGTGATCCTACCATCTCTGCAGCCTTTTCTGGCTTACTTCCTCTCTTTGTCCTACTGCTGGTCTGAAAATTTTGGGTCTACTCTAACACAAGTAGAAAGACAGGGTCCCAAAGGGTCTAAAGCAACACAGAAAGTAATTTGCAGTTGTTCTCCAACATCTTTTGTCCTCTCTTTCCTTTTTCCTCCCTAAAGGATGCACCTCATGCTTGGATTATAGCCAAAAACCCCAAAAGCCACCATGAGGAGACACTTAATAGAGAAGGACTCACGTATACAGCCATCAGGAGCTCTTGCTGGAACACCGTAAGGACGATAGTAACCCTCTGCACACTTCTCACAGTTAATACCAGCTGTGTTATGCTGTGTAAAATAAAGCAAATGGAGAATATAAGATAAAAAGAGGAACTCGGAAGAACTAAGAAACAATACCATCCTTTACACTGTTTCTATATACAACTAAAAGCACAGGAAAAAAATGGAACATGACTGCAGTAAAGACCACATTCATCATTTGCTGTTCTTTAGCCACCTGTTCTCTGCAGAGTTCTGAATCACAGTATTCTTACATAAGGCAGCTGAAATGTATCTTTAAAGCATTATAAAAAAGAGCTATTAATAAAAAATCTAGGGGGGGGAAATCTCTTTTCCCTACCACATGGTATTTATCTCTTTTTATGCTGCTTTCTTATCAAAATGTATACATTGTTCAGGCAACTGCATCATGAATTTTTCCTCATTATAGCTATAATTTATTTTTTTTAATACCCTAAGTCAAAGATCAGCAACACAGAAATAAACCAAAACCTGATCAGTAAGGTCAGCACAAAACAGATCTTCCATTATGAAAGCATGTGTTCTAAGCACACAGAAAAAAATAGCATAAGTAACTTGAACTACAGCAAAAATGTGTAACTCCCCTGTGAACACAGTCCTGAGTGTATTTCAACTTGTGCAGCAAAGCTCTTCCCTGTGATGGAGCAGCAGGAGCATGCAGGGGCACTGGCACCAGTTGAGTAAATCACAGACAGGAGGCATTTCTGTGGGTTCATGAGTGGGGAATCAGAGGTGGGGAGGAAGTTTTGTCCTGGAGCAACCAAAGCAGCTGCCCCCAGCTCCCACTCGCTGTTTAGTTCCTCCATAGGGAGTGTTGCAATTCAGGGCTGAGCAGGGACCCAGCATTCAGTGGAAGGACTGGTGGAGCAGTTCATGAGCAGGGCACCCAGGATGCTGCTAGGGCTGCTGCTCATAGTTGGAGCTCTCAGTCTGCACAGCAGTTTTGGGTTCTGTCTCCAGCTCTTCCAGGAGCCTCTTTTGTTGTCTTCAGGTCTGAGTTACTGCTGGGCAAGGCTGATGCTAGATCAGGTAGGGTGATGCTCACATTGCACAGCTGATGGAGACACAGTGGTTGTTGCAGCACTTAGCACAGCAGGAGCACAGAGGGGCCATCTGTGCCCCTCATCTCTCTCAAAACTGTGCAGGGCTACTTGGAGATCACTTAGTGATGGTCTCAACACATTGCAGGGTATGTTCGTCAGAGACTACTGGTGCTAACACCTGTGGCACGTCAGAGGCCACCCCAGTCAGAGCTCCAGGAGGTGGTTGACACTGTCCAAGTCTGGGCCTCCAGAGAGTGCCTGGGCCTCTCCCTGGGACTGGGGCAGGTGATGAACCTGTGCAGACCTTGAGGGTAAGGATTAGAACAGACCAGCACCACTGATATTGCAGTTGCAATCAGATACTGAGGTGGTCGTGAGTGGTTGTGGCATCTCTGTCCTTGAAGGTGTTCAAGGCTTCACTGACCAAGTCCCTGAGCAATCTGATCTAATTAGACCTGCTCTGAGTAGGAGGCTGGGCTATGTGATTTCCAGAGTTCCCTTGTTATTAGACTCTAGAGAAACTGAATCTATCTTTGTATGCATCTTTTCAATTCTATCACTTCTTTGTTCAAGCATCCATTCCTAACACTTTTTGGCTCTGACATAAACAGAAAAAGTAAATTAAAATCCATGTGCTTTATCTATGGGAAGAAAAGCTATAATTATGGTAAACTCATTTAATCCAGCATAACTTCCACAAAATTATGTTGCAAGCAATTAATATCAGCCATATAACCAGGACTCGCAGATTTAGATTCTGCTCTTTTCTATCTTGGAGGCAATATAAGAGAAACATTCTCTCATGAACAAAGAACTGCCAGGAAGGAGCAACATGATAAATCTTACCAGACTGCATGAACAAAATTCTGCACAGAAATGTCAATTGGAAGACAAAGAACATTTCTTCTACTCATGCCAGTAAAAATAACTCTTTTCCAATTGCCTTTTCAACAATATCTGATTATATTGTGGCAATAGGATAGGAAACATCTCCTACAAATTTTACTGGATATTTCCTTCTTTTGTTGTTCTTTAAATACAGCTTTATTTTTAAATGCACAGCATGGTAATACATGAATCATGATGCAATGCACGTTTCATAAGAACATAGGCTTGATGATCATTTTCCCTCTGATTTATGTTCTAATCAGCTGCTTGTCGTCATACTTCACATGAGTACACAAGAAAAGGAAGACAAACTTCCAAATAAGTCTGGATGTATTTAACCTCGAAATGACTGAATCAGTGAATACTTTAGGTTGTAAGGAATCTCAGGAGATCAGGTGGCTCAGTCCCACTCAGAGCAGACATAAGCCCAAGATAAGAACAAGTTGATCAGAGCCTTGTATGACCTTTCCTCATTGTAATTAGCCAGAGCAGAACAGAAGTTACTCAGGATAAGAGAAATTCTTTCTCTTTCCAAGAACGTGCTATTCATTAACAACAGATACAGTGTAAAGTCTCTGATTCCAAATCTACGCTTGTTGATATAATTCAACCAAGCTTCTAAGAGAGTTAAGAGGCTGGAGCCCCTTAACTTCCTTACTGTCTCTCAGCAACAAGTATCTCTTTACCATGAAAGCAATTAAGTGCTGTAGAACATTATGCAGTCTGTGTAATCTTGTTCCTCAGAAATTTTCAGAACTCAACCAGACATTTCTCAGTGCAACCTGGTATAACTTTCTATCTAGCCTTGGCTTGAGTGGGGCACTAGTCTAGATGACTTCCAGAGGTCCCTTCTACTATTCTATGCTTTTTCAATACCCATAAGCTTCCTTCTTGGTATAGCCTATGCCACCTTTAGTCCTGCTGATGAAGAAGAGCCCTCTGTGTTTTGCTGCAGTTAGGAACCAGCTGCCCTAAGCTGGAATTTTATTTGGTTAATTTTACTTCCTTCTGTTAAGCAGGAAAATGGCAGAGTTTTTAATAACAGGAAAGGGAATTTTTGTAGTTGATTTAATTGTTGCATTGTGTGGCTGTATTTGAATCACACAGGACTGAGCATGAATACAATTTATATGTGTCCTTTCTACATTAACAAGCAATATTGTACAATGTAATTATTTTCAGACACATTTTTCCATGCTTTGAGTACAAGTAACAACACCAGAGAGATGGACCTATCTGCACTGGCCAGCCTCCAAACTATTGGTGCGGACACAGTCCCTCTTCTGCAGCCCTTCTTCAAATGTCATTTATGTAAACGGAGCAAAATGACATTTTTACCTGGCAGTTAATGCAGACTCCTCCACCTTCATAATGCCCATGGATGTTTAAACTTTCTCGACGCTGATCAACATCAGCATCATAGTAGCAATCAGTGGCATGTCCGTGGCAATTGCAGGCTGAAAAAGTAATACTCCAAGTCAGCTTTCTTTGTGACACTGGACTTCAGTAATGTAGCAGAGCTGAAAAAGAAGCTTAGATTTTTTTTATGTACAAACACACTAAGGTATGTTGAAGTACGCTCGAATGCACATATTTACCTATCAACAACTGGACTGTCATACCAGAAACACTGTTAGATTATGAATGTATGTCCTGGCTGACTGGGGAGGTCCCAGTCGA